AAACAATATCACCACCTCTCTCAGTTATCATAACATGGCCCTGGGAAATATCTTAGCGTATACACCAACACTTGTTTCTACAAAGCTGAGTTGAAGAATGTCACTTTTACACTGCAGGTGAACCGCTGGCTGTCATTACTGAGGCACAACTTTAGTTTAATTGGCTGGCATACAGTGATGGCCAAACATATTGGCACCCCTGCATTTCCATCAGAAAATGCATAACTTCTCCCAGAAATGATAGAGCAACTCGGAGATGTCATACATGCACAAGTATAATTCAAACACAGATAAGGCTTGGGTTTTACTGGTGTCCCACAACCACAAAGTGCAGCTATCAAAACTGCAAAGAACAAGCTTGCTTCCCAGTTAACTCCAAGCACAACTTGTGTAATAAACACTGGTTAACAACAATAAACGTGACTACTAGGACGTAATCCTCTGCCATAGCTCAGCAAGGAGCTATGTCCAGGGAAACACAAGAGGGAAATTGGCTTAAATAGTAACTTTAAAAGACACCAACCTGAATTAGCTCCGTCTAATAGTGGGACTGCTGAAACTTTGGAGGATCTTTGGAGTTTAATCCAGTTTTATTTGTATAGCACCAATTCATAACAAAAATTACCTCAGGGCACTTCACATGGTAAGGTCCAGACCTTACAGTATTGTAGAGGAAAAACCCAACAAATCCCCCTTGAGTAGCACTTTGTGACAGTGAGGAGGGACAACTCCCTCTAATGAAAGAAACCTCCGACAGACCCGGCTCTTGGTGGGCTGCTGTACTCCCTAGACCAGTTAGGGTGAGTGGAGAGACGAGAGAGAGAAAAGCATCAAAACACAGCAAACAACAAACAAACAGGTGGCCGGTGACTGCTCATCAGAAACAGTGCATTTCTACACAGAACGACATATATTTTGTCAAATTCTGGGTGAAAAACATCAGAGTCCATGAGAATATGAAAAGTTATGACTAAGACCCATTTTTTTATATACATATGGGAACATCAACGGGAAAAATCCCAAACCTACAAGGCAGAATCAGCAACTGTTGGTTATTTTCATTACAGATTAATCTTTTGGTGCAGGGATGAGTGATTAGTCATTTTCAAATTGCAAAAGCTGTGATTTAAACTTCCATTAAAACATGGTTCTGAGTGCTACAAATTTTAAACTGGGGTGGGCAATTCTGGACCTTGAGGGCTGCTGCACTGCTGGTTTTCCAACCCTCCCTGCCCTACTCACTGCTGATTACCTGGATCAGGTGTGTTCAGTCTGTCAGAAGCTGGAAGATACCGCCTTAGATGAAGGTGGAGAGAGCACAGATAAAGCGTTGCCATTTTTCAGACTTAAATTTATTGTCCACAGTAGTGAATGCATCACAATACTGAGTAAAACTAAAGTGGTTTAGAAAAGCTGTGAGATCAGTGGGATTAAGACACGCTCTGTCATCTTTACACATGTGGAGCGACACAGTACACCAGCTGTCGCCCTCACCTCCGTCTCCTTCCACTAACTGTTGAGCCCCATGGCTCCACCACTCAGTTACCGTTCAGACCATTAAACACTGAGGCAGCAGTAACCGTTGTTGACTCACTGCACCTGAAAAACGGTTTAAACAAACAAAGGCACAACAGAGAAAGGAAGTTACAAAATATTAAATGCTTCAAATAGTTCAGTGCATCCAGCAGCATTAACTATGTAGACAGAGGATTCGGGACCACGGCTCCCAGTGAGTCCAATACAAACACCAGTTAAGTTTTAGTCTACAGCATAAGAGGGACTCGGAAGGAAATTGGCCTGAGTTTATTTGGCAGGGTGATGTTGTACAGCTTCAGTTTTATCAGAAATTTTGATACGCTACTCAAAGTCTATGATGAGCTCAGATCTGCAGAAGTGTATGAATGAATGAAGGAAACTCTGCCTGTGTTTACTGCTGTACAGTTGGAATTCTAACCTCACACTCTAGCCTGTGGCTAAATAACTAGTCGAAGAGAGGAAAAATAAAAACATAATTTAATACAAAGTACATTTAACAGCAGTAACCCTCAGCACCACTAGTACATGTGAGGATGTTGGCTCTGTCTTCCTGCTGTCATTTACAGTAAAGCTTGTTTTACAATACAAAGAGAAAAGTGGTTGTGGTGGTACATTACATCACAATAGCAATATTTCTGAAATAATTCAAAATTATATTATTTCCCCAAATCATTCAGCCCTAATTTGGTCTCTAAAATCTCTGAAAACAGTGTAAATTGTTAATTAAATCTTCTTTAAGTCCAAAGGAAACCTTGTTTTGACCAGCTAAGACACATGAGAGAAAGCTGCAAAAGGTCACAAGTAATAAGCTGGAACTAGGAAATGGTTGGTGTTTTGGGTTGAAAACTTACTGATTAACAGATTATCAAAGTAGTTACAGAACCTTTCAATGGACAAATTGATTTATCAGCCAATTGTTTCAGCTCTAATTTGAACTGATCAAACACATTTGGATCACTTCTTTAAGTGCAGTAATTTCTCCACACAGGAGTTCCAGACGGGTGGTACAGTAGTTAGCAAAATTCCGGGTTCAAGGCCGCCCCGACCCCGGGCCTTTCTGTGCAGAGTCTGCATGTTCTCCCTGTGCCTGCGTGGGTTCTCTCCGGGTACTCCCATTTCCTCCCACAATCCAAAGACATGCATCTTAGGTTGAATGGAGACTCTAAATTGCCCGTAGGAGTGAGTGTGGTTGTTTGTCTACATGTCAACCCTGTCTGGTGACCTGTCCAGGGCGGACCCCGCCTCTCGCCCAGTGTCAGCTGGGACTGGCTTCAGATCCCCCGCAACCATATTCAGGAGCAAGCGGTATAGATAATGGATGGGGTTCCATACTCGGTGTATGGAATGTTTCTACACTAGCACTGAGTCAATACCTGACTCCTTTACTACCAGTATAATGTTACCGAACAGCTGTAGTCTATTTTATTTTACACCATGTTCTTTACAAGCAACTTAGAAATACCAAATGTCCCCATTCACACAGTAACTTAGTGCATAAGCTAGACAATATAGATATGATGCAAATATAGGTTTAAGTGGAAGACACAATCAGTTCAATCTAAAGAGGAGCAGGCACAAGGGGCAAATGTGGTTTTGCCATTACAGAATTAATGCTAATTACCCACAGCTGATATAATCTGCCACTGACAGCATTTACCATTTTAATCTGTGAAGGCAGTCAACAGAGAAAGTACGAGAAGCTGCCGTCTGAATTTATTTTGTACATTTTTCTTTACTGATGATTAAAAAAATTTTAAAAAATACTTGGGACAATAGTTGGTTTGTTCCAGTATTTTACAGACACCAGATTCACAATGTACCAGGCTATCAGAACAAACCCTTTAAAAAAAAACAACAACATATATAAACAAAACAAACACTTTTATTTAGCCTAACAAAGAGAAGCAAAGCTCTTGTGTCAAATGCCACAGTAAAAACTCTGACTGAATAAAATACTCTAAAACAGACACACCTGGCCCCCCAAGTAATAATAACAATAATAATTTTAAAAAGTGACAAATTTTTTCAAAGAATGAGTATAGAAATTGTCTCTAGGAAGATAGAGAAGACCACAGTTTGGTACTTAACAATTTACAATACTTTAAGCTTCAAACACTTTTCAGCTGGAACTAAAGACACCCAGTCCTACCCCCGTTTAGGCCTCTTATACATTACCATCACATTTATGCCACAGAACCTTCTTCTTTTTTTTCTTTGGAGACAAATACATTCCTGATGAGCTTTGCAAAGCACAAAATACAGTTGAATAATTCCTTGTCAATTTTGCATAATGCACAATACACATACACAAACACACACATTATTGTTTATGAAAGTAAGTAGTATAAATAACATTGGTATGGACACTTTAATTGATAAAACAAGCATTCTAATTTTGGTACACATCCAACAAAGCAGTCAAGGAGATAACTCATTCAGAATTTGTTTGGATTGGGGAATAGTGGAAAGCAATTCAAAACCTTTAAAATAATCAGACAAAAGACATTTCTTAGGATCCTGTAAAGTCCTTCAGAACAGCAGTGAGTGTTAATGAAAGACCTCTGTTTTACAAAGCACCTCCTGGGATCTGGGGAAAACCCAGCCCTGCCTCCACAACATACACCAAACATAGCTGATCCCAGGCCACCATGAACAAAAACACTACATCTCAGCATAACCCCAGTCATTAGAGAGAGGATACTCTATTTTAGTGAACTGTGCTTCACATGGTGTGAATCCATTCTCAGTGTACATCTCAAATACCACTTCTTTAGAAATTCAACTTCTAGTATTTTCTTTTAATTCACTCCTGCTGCTATTGGTAGATACAGTCCATCATTCATGGGTTACAGAAATGTATGCAAAATTAAGTAACAATAAACTACAGTGAACTTCCAGAAAGAGAAAGGCAACTGTGACATCCATACAGTATAGGCCTACTGATCATGTTTTTGGAGAAGCTAATGGTCCTCTGTCAGGTACCACTGGGGTTCCCTGTTTTACAGGCTAATCTCCGGAACTCATTAGTCATGTTCTTTGTACTGTAGGTAGTCATAAACCCTCAAAAGGAGGTAAATATGTCAAATGAAATCAATGAGTAAAGACAGGAGCCCCACCGCGTAAACTTCACAGTGGCTTCTACAGTCAGAAGTGCCTTTTCCTCATAGCAACAATGTATCTCTCTCTCTCTCTCTCTCTCGCTCGCTCTCTCTCTCTCTCTCTCACACACACACACACACACACACAGCAGGAAACATCACAGACAGAACAACAAAGTAACTAGTCCTTATAAAACACAGGACTGCTATTTGGGTATTAAAATTAATACCCAAAATCTATGTAGTCTACATGAAAAGAAAAAGAACTGGATTATTTTTGGTGTCATTTGACACCAGTGTGTCTCGAAGCAGCGTGCTCAGTCCAACTATCAAGCATTATAACAGCAAAAGCAGATGGGGACGTACCGTAAAAGAAGCACCAATAAAGACTGCTGTTATCTCCTCCTGGAATATGTATTTTTAGCACAGTAAAGCGGCTGAGTTGCCCCCTTTTTCCAGCCAAACCTCCGTCCAGCGTTCCTCTCCTTTCTGCTGTTTTTCCCTCTGGTCTGGATGAAAAACGACGTCCTCGCTGAAGACAAAAAAAATGGGAGGATATCAACCCGTCCGACCAATCGGCTATCGGTATGACAACACTCTACTGCTTTCGGCCAATCGGGTTCTGCCTCCAACAGATAGCCGATCGCTTATTGGTTGGCTGAGGAAAGACCTCCCAGTTGAAATTACTATTGCACCGGGAGAAGAGCGAGAGTCACAGCACAACACAGTGAGGTCTATCAGAGCTATGGTTACAACACACTCACGGTATAGTCATTACACTTTTTCATTTAACTGCGAAAATTACAATGCTATAAACCGTGAACCACTGTACATTATTGACTAGAAAATATTGGAAGTGAAAATTAACCTTTAGTCTTTCAAAAAATAATACCCATCATGGTTTCATAAAGAGCAAGATCATGTCTACAGATATTTTGTTTTGTCAGACCAATAGTCCAAAATCCAAAGATCCAAAGACGTTACGGTGAGAGGAAACTGAGAAAAGCAGTCAACTGTCATACTGCCAGAACTAAAACTGGGTAGTATTTTCAATTTCTGCTTCAAACATGACTTACTCAATAAATCACTTGTTAACAATAGTGGCCAAGTTATTTATTTGTTTGTTTGTCAAAATAACAATTGATTATTTAACATATTCATTGACATTTTTATCAATTCATGTTGAAAAATTATATAGGGCAGCACTAAAGTTTATAGTTAGACATGCCTTTTGCATATCTGCACCAAAAACCTTAATTTGTGAATGATTAAACTGCACTTACACTGAAAAGATGTATGTCACATAAAAAATGTAAATATCTCATTTAGGTGAAAGTTGCACCAAACCAATAAAGAGTTGACCTTATGAGCTTAACTGGAAACTAAGATTCATGAGATTCTCTTCTATGAGATTCTAGCTATGTTAAAAGTACCAAAAAAAAAATAAAATTGTCACCATCTGAATGCTAGTCAAGTTTCACATTTTGTTATGTTTCAGACTCCTCTTTAAATGAAATCAATTCATTTTTTCCTCTTCAATCTACACACAATACTTACACACACAAAATGTATTAAAATACAAGACTGAAATATTCCATTTACATAAGTAAATGCGTAGCGCTTTCGCCGCTGCGGCCCAGGTTCAAATCAGGGTTGCGTCAGGAAGGGCATCCGGCGTAAAACGTGCCAAATGTCAACATGTAAGTCGTCAGATTTGCTGTGGCGACCCCTAAACTGGAAAAACCAAAAGTGATTTTACTTTACTTTACTATAAGTAAATGCTGCTGATTAGCTTCCGGCGCTGACAGCGATGGCGGCCGTGGTTACTCGCACTCTCTTGTGTTTGTTGTTTTTCTTTGTTTTCTTGGTCTTTTGCAACTCATCCCGGCTTACTTTTACCAGAGAATAACTGTTAAATATCGGACAACTCACACCAAACTACCTTCCTCCAATTTTTTGTGAACGAAGAATGCTGTATGGACATGCTGATCGGAGGCGCAGCAGCGATATACGGGACCTGGAAAAAATGTCGGCGATGCAGAAAACGCACTGGCGCCTTGGTGCGGTTATGACAGGGGGGAACACGGACCTCACTCCCATCTATCCACCTGGCTAATCTTCGCTCCCTGGTCAGCAAAATGGATGAAATTCTTCTCATCAACAGGGCTAACTCTGACTTTGCACGCTCTGATGCTTTGTGCTTCATGGAGACCTGGCTCAATGACTCCATCGCAGACAGCGTGATTCAAGTACCGGGCTTCCAGGTGTACAGAGCAGATCATGTAAAAGAGCTGTCCGGGAAAACAAGAGGAGGTGGAATTTGTTTCTACATAAATGAAGGTTGATGCATAGATGTCACAGTGCTACAGATGACATGTACCACAGACTTAGAGTAGAGTCTCTTGTTATCAACTGCAAACCCTTTTCCCTGTGAATTCAACAGTTTCATGCTAATGGGAGTGTACATAACACCGCAGGCTAACGCTACCATGCTACGGCTCCTAGCAGAACTGATAACTAGCCTGGAGCTAGAACATGCCGACTCTCCATTCATTGTTCTAGGGGAACAAACTGCCAAAATACTGACAGCATGTTACCTGTCCCACCAGGGACAAAATTACACTGGACCAAACTTAAAGTTGCGAAGCCTATAGTCAAAACAGTGAAGAGCTGGACTGAGGAGGCTAAGTCAGAGCTACAGGCCTGCTTTGACTGCACAGTTTTCCGGTTCCGCTCCGTTTTTGCGGTTCTGCTCCGTGCGGAACGGCAGCGAGCTGCAACAGCTCTGCCTCTTTTGTGTTTATTTTTGTGTTTGCTTTTTATGTTATGTCTCTTTTCTGTAAACGCTTGTGGAGTTGGGCTACCAGGGATACAACTTTTATTGTGTTTGCGTCGTGTTTTGTACTTTTTTACGAGCTTTCGAATCTGCCTCAGGGGGACCCTTGTGTCGCGGCCCCGACTGTTTGCTCTGCTTGCCAACAGTCGGCTTCCTTGTTGTGAGTAGCCGGGGATTCCCACGGGGATCTGACGAGAAGGGCGAGTCTGCAGAAGCAGAACTGGAGAAAAGCGCTGGGAGAGGAGCTGGAGTGAGGCGCTGGAGTGAGGCGCTGGGGGACAAGATGGACGAGCTGCACGAGCTGGACGAGCTGGCCGCGCTGGCGGAGCTGTAGCGGGTGTACAGAAGGAGAGGTCCTGCACACGCTTCACCGGGACTCCAGGATCTGTGGTCCGTGGTGACGGTTCTCCACTGATCCCCGGGCCGGCTCTGATGCTGCGTGCAGGCGCACGGTGTCTCAGCGGTCACAGCACCCACAGGCCCTAATCCTTATCTCAGGGACCTCGACCATGCCATGCCTCCCTCCCCCTCTCTGCCGCCCTCCTACACAAAGAACAATAAAACTCTGGACCATACCATATGCTAATGCTAGGAAAGCATACACTTCCGCCCCTCCCCCTCTGACCACAGACTGCCCTGTCTGTGATTTGAGTGAGAGCGATATCTGTTCCTGACTTTCTCTGAAATGCTTGTACTGTTATCCCCAGTTCTTTTACTGGACAGATCTGAGTAAGGAAGGAGTCCGTCTTTCTTGATTTTAGTGCTGGTTTATTTACAAATATATA